GCTCACTGGAAGCTTAGCTGGTTCAGGTGTGATTAATTAGGGTTGGAGCTGAACTCTGCAGGACAATGGCCGTCTAGGAACTGAATTTGACACCCTTGGCTCACACACTGCTCATATATGCAGTGTAAAACAATCAGAATCTCAATCAGAATGTTTTTTTTTTTTCACTTTTTATTGTTTAAAAATACATACTGTAGTACAATAATGGTTAGTTTACAGGGAATTTGCAATCCAGAGTTTATGGAAAAGTGACATATTGAGGTGATCAGATATGGCCAAACTGTTCTCCTTATTCTTCACATTGCTCTGTATGTTGTTAAAATGACATTTAAAAAAAATATATATTAATTTGTGCCTTTTGTATTTGTCAATGTGATTAAAAGAATAATTATAGGTGTAAAATTGAGAATTAATGCAATTTTTCAATAAATCAAATAAACCTAAACAATAAACCAGAATTTCTTGGTAGCCTTTAATTAAATTGATTTATCATAAGAAAATGATTCATAACATACAAAGTGGAAGAGTTGTCATTCTCAGACATAAACTAGAACATGGTAAAACCCTTGGTTTAGATTGTGATCAGGACAGAATTGTTTATTAAACTAAAATAATTTTAAAAAATTACTTTGCAATAAATTCTAGTTTAACTATTTTTCTATATCCATCTTATTTAATTTTTCACCATTTTGTTTCACTCAATAACAGCTCGGTGTTGAGAGAGAGAGAGAGAGAGAGAGAGAGAGAGAGAGAGAGAATATATAACAAGTTGTGCCAAAGGCCAAAATTTATTATATGCTGTACGTGGCTCTATATCATATTTAAGACCAAAGGTTATTCCATAAATTAACTTTGTTTTACATAAAAAGTTATTAGTTATTAGAAAGGTTATTAAAATGTGGGCCTGTATTACACTGAGAAACAAAAAGGACCATTACATTGTAATGTAACCCCCAAATGGCAAGACAGGTTACAGCCTCGGAGTGAAGGATTTAATTTTACATACTTTTTAAAATCTCTCAACAGTCCATTACAAGTGTTCAGACTCATGCTCCTCATCACAATTTCCGTCAGTTGGACTGTTAGAAGAATGGCTTTTTCTGAACCTGAAACAAAGTATAATTATTTACAGTATACAACAAAAATGTGCTATATCACTAAAATGTCAAATGATTTACAATTGTAACACCACTCAATATTTGCAATATTTCTAAGTTGGCAAGTAGAGTATTTTCTCTTGTGCACAAGCAAAAACAAATAATGTTAAAAGACAATATAGAAAATATAGGCCCCAAAGCAGAAACTCAGCAGAATGAAATACACCTGTGATTACTGACACATGATTGAGTACAGATGTGATTTCCAACGCATGAACATGGTTATAAAATGACCTGTGAACACCAGAACTTTCTTAGGGCTGTGTCTATCTGCATGTCTGCATCATTACTCCACATGGACAAGAATTTCCAGGGGAATTAGGTAATTAAAAATAAGTGGAAACAGTTGAAGGAATCAGGGGGTATAGAATGAGTCACAGTGGTTATCCTCCTAAAACGATACTTGAATAATCTAGTTCTTCAGGCTTGGCACTTAAATGGAAATCAACTACTGTGACAGGTCAGAGAGCTCAAAGGATGTTGCATAACATCAACAACCACCCACAGGAAGCACTACCACGGTCAATACATTGTCCTGACAGTGAAGCACGAAGGTCAGAGTGAGGGGGAATAATATTTAATATATAACCATGATGGGGAGATGACATTTATAGATAGCACCATGATAAAAAAGGGAAAACAAGATCCTTTTTCTTACCTCATTAGCAGATATAATTTTTAGTTTTAAGCAAATACTAAGAAAATTTTGAAGCATTTTTCAGAAAACAAGACTTAATATCTTTAGTCATTTTGCTTCTCAAGGAGATCTTGATTTAAAAATAAATAGATATTTGTAACAGAAAACAAGACAAACATATTAAGAAAATCATTTTTTGTAGTGCAACAACTGTCAGAGCTATTAAACAATCAAATGTTCTTGATTACTGAGAGAAAAAAAACTGATTCGGCTGATAATGTTGTAGGTTTATAAGTAACATCAGAATATGCTCATATGGAGCCAATTCACTTTGAACCCGATTTACTAAGATCCCATATAAAAAATGTGAATTTTCACATGCAATCTAGCAAGTTTATGGGCATATTGTGGGTGATCTACTACGAATATTTGCACTAACAGCCCCAACGTGTAAACACCCGCATGTAAAGGAAGCGTTTGTGTGTTGTAATTCTACCAAATCAGTGTTAATTTTGACAGGCATTTTTTATTTAGTCTTAGTCTTTATCTTGAGATGAAAATGCTTAATAGTCTTAGTCACATATTAGCCATCTGAGTCTTTCATAGTTTTAGTCAACGAAAAGTCATTGCATTTTTGTCAACTTTTAGTCATTACTTTTAGTCATTATTTTAGTCAAACTGCAGTTACCAACATTTATTTTGGTAGCTATTTTATATGTAGTCTT